CACACACACACACACACACACACACACACACACACACACACACACACCTTGTGGCTGTGAGGACCGGAAGCTGCGAGGCGGAGGGAGTTACGCTTCTGTGAAATGAAGCTAAACTCACCCTCTTGAGCTTGGTGACGTTCTCCTCCGCCGTCAGTCCGTTCAGAGCACCGGAGATACCGAGGAAGGCTCCCAGGAAACACGGAGCGAAGCACAACTAGGACACAGGAAATAAGAAGAGGAAGCCAACTTCAGAAAAGAAAGCAAAAAAAAACAATAAAAACATCACCTCGGTGATGGTTAAATACTTGGCACCTGGAGTTAAAGTCTATTAATTGGTGGCATATATAGAAATATAGAAATTTAATAGAAATTGTCATTTCCAATCGGTACCGTTTATACTAAATGTAAGAAAATCTAATTTGTTAAAGCTGGTTGAGCTCAGAAGATGTGCAAACATGTGTGAGTGTAAGATGCTAAAAACGCTCGAACAGTTTGTTTGATTGGTGCATCAGGTTATTGATGTTGGCGTCTTACAGCTTTACTTTTGTTTTAACGGGAAATTTACCGTACATGTTAATTATTGATCTACTGTAAATCTTTAAAAGTCAAAACAAAATGTTATTAAAGATAACCTGTCGAACTTGTGAATAACATTCCTGTGAAGCTACATTTGCCTCCATACAGTGATGGTACATGTTTGGTCTTTGGACGCTTCCACTCGTGGAGTCTCTGCTCCCGAATTTCACACTGGACCAACACGGTGGTGTTTTTCCTGTATTACAAAGATAGTTCACGGTGTTCTGGAAAGTAGTTGCTGAATCCGTCTTCATTTTAGAGAAAAATAATGTGGGGCAGATTTGTTTCACCCCCTCATGAACTGAGAGACTTTAGTTGGGATTTTAACAAACCAAACAAAATGTTTTTGTGGATCAGGTCAAAGAAAATAAATCCTTTTTGTGGATCTGAAGCACATAGACCGCCTTAAATCTCTCAATGGCACTTCAGTCATCGCTGAGGCCGAGGGAGCGGCGCACACATAACTACTCCAGCGAAGGAGTGGACCCTTTGCTTCAGTAGAGAGGAGAGATTTGAAAGCTCCGAAGTCTTGTTCTGCAGTGGTTGTTTTTTAATCTGCTGCCGTTTGATTGAATGAAACACCAGAGGGCAGAGTGGAGAAACTGCACAGCCCTCTGTGAGAGAATTTGACAGTTCCTTCCCGACAAAGAGACGTCCGTCAGCCTGATGTGAGGAAATTGTGTCCCTGTGGTCCGGCCTCATCCGCCCCGTTAGGCCCAATCAATGAGCGGAGCCTGAGCTGAAGACTCACAGTGGTATGGGTGTATCTTTGAGCTCGTGTCCACTTTGTTTCTTTGCTTGCTGAAACCACTTCTGTTCATTCGCCATGCTCCTGACCGGCGCTCCCACACCTTAAACATCGAAGTCAAGGACCCAGCACGGCTCAGTTTAGACGTTTAGATCAAGGCTAATTACTGTTACCACAATGACAAGTTCTATAATTAGAACTAGCAGGCTTCACAGAAGCTCACAGACAACATTTAAAAAAGGACAGAGAGAGAGAGGATTGATTGTGTGAGCATCAAAAGAACTAAATTAAATAAATAAGTTCAAGCACTTTCTCTATTTTATTTTAAGGCCTTCAAACTCAAACTTCAAGGACCCGTGTGAACCATGAACAGCAACAGTTAGTAGCAGTAGAAGGAGAGAGGGATGCTGTTCTCACCTGGTCGACCAGCATTTTCTTCATGGCGGCACTTTTCGTTCCTCCAACCACCAGTCGGTCCAGAACTTTGTACCAACTGCCGATTACTGGACCCTTAGTTGTAAAAAACAAAAAGAAATGATGATTAACTTATTCTCTAGCGCTAAACCTTCACACTAAAGAAACCTCAGGGGCTTTCTGTCCATCGCATCGCTCTGAACTGTAGTGTCTGCATGCAGACTGCACATTGATTGAATTTGAGCCACTAAACGTGTATTATTCATGTGAGGAAGTCTGATCCATGACGTATGACTTATGAGACAGTCGTTACCTTCCAGATGAAAGAGCAAAACATGTCTTAATGCAACACAAATCCTGTGCGTGATTGAAGAGCCGTCTATAGCGACAAACCTCTGTACGTCTTCTCTCCATAATTACTCCATAATAAGGACGAGGCAGCCGATTGGCCGAACATAAGACGATCATGGACATAAACTTGAATTCACAAACATACAAAAGGCACGAAGAAACACTGGGCAACATGGATGAGCACGTTAGCGTGTCATCTATAAAAGGGATTTTTGATGCTGTTAGATGTTGGGCGGCTGTGGCTGCGGGGCTGGTGGTCAAGGTTGACGGTTCAATCCCGGGGCGCTTTACAGTTTAAGAATATAACTTTCTTTTTTTACCATTAATAGCTTAATTTAGATTTGCTTTCTCATATCCGATAAACAGCCACAATAAAAAAATCACATATCTTGTTATTATACTATTTTGCACTTTATTTAACTTTACTTGTTTTGTGTACATGTGGACAAGCGTGTTAAATCATGCATGTTGTTTATGACGGAATAAAATCAATCAAATCCTCACAAAACTTGCCACACCAACACTTTTTTAAATTTATTTATGTGTTTATACAAACGACAAGAGTCCAGGGGACGCTTACCACGAAGAAGAAACCAATGCTCATCATCTTGGCCGTGCGCCGCACGTTGTGATGAGCCAATCCTCTTCTCTCAATCAGCTGTTGGGCGATGACATCACCGACGCCCATCAGAGATCCTGGAGGACAAACAGGGAGACAGATACCGTGTCTGAGCACAGCGGCGACACAAATGTACAAATGGAGACGGTGTTTTATATATTTTTCACATATTTTCTCTGCAGCTACAAGAGAATCTGTTCATCTGTATTCAGGTCTTATTTAGACCATAAATACAAGCAGTCAGGTGACAAAAACTGTTATATAATATAAATTCACTTTAGGTCCGTTTATTTTTGCCAAAATAGTTGCGATTCACACTGTTGTATTGAAAATCAAAAAATATTTAAAACTATTAAAATGGGACCAAAAATGACAGTAATCTCTTTATCTTATTCTTTAAACAGCAATATTGTGAGAGTCAGTTTATTTCTTTTATAATTCCTGTAAAAAAAAAAAAGTACCTCAAAAATTGTACTCAAGTACATGTACTTTGTTACATTCCACTACTACTACTAATAGTAGGTCTTACAGTTTTGACATATTTCATTTAAACTCTATCGCCTCTGGTTGATGATGGGCTTCAGACAGATGGGGAGCGCTGCCTCCATCTAGTGGTGATTAAACAGCACTGCGATGAAATACTAAAATCCATTTTCTTCAAACATGAACATTTAAACACCTGCTCAGATGTTTGGAACACAGGAAGTGTTACATTTTGCAGCGATGTCATGTTCGGCTGTGGTCAGATTAATAGACACACGACAGGTCTGACGTGCTTTTCTGCATGTGGCCCTTCATATCGCTGACTTTTAGAGGAAAGTCACTTTTGGAATTTCTGGGAATGTTTGGACAAAAAGGGTCAAAGGTCAAGAGCTCCGATTTTTGAGAGCGTTACCCTCAAGCTGTTTGGGAAAACTGCCTGAGCTATACGCTTCCCTTCTCACATCCTAAAAAGCTGTTGTTGCAGCTTCTACCGAAAAGCAGTTATTTTCATCATTAATGAATCTTTTTATTATTTGTGTGAAAACTTAAGTTATATGATTATGGCATCAAGTTATTCTGATTGCATACGTTTTGTTGATAGAAAACACATCTTGTGTAAAGTGACTCCATTGACAAAAGCTCACAAGTTAAGAGAGCCAAAATAGGCATTTTATAATTGCTTAACTTGTCTGATGAAGCTCTAAATACAGTTACGTTACAAGGTGAACACACACACACACAAAAAAAATGGTGGTCACTCAGTTCGAAGGCCTCTCTTTGTTGATTCTGAAACTGGAGCAAAGGTCCAGCAGTTAAAATGTTAGGCCCCATGTTTCAGAGGCAAATATAACTTTGCAGATTTAGATGATTAATACAAAATATAAAAACGACAACAATGACTGTATCCATAATATTAATCCAGCATTATAATATCTAATAGTCTGAAATGAGCCATTGTGCATATTGAGTGCTTGACTTTTGGCACTTTAAGTTATGCAGTATATATGTAGTATTCCTACCAGCGGTCACTAACTGTACTGTCCAGGGGTATTTGGTCATCAACACTTGGTAGGATCTCCACAGGCCCGCCATTCTCCCTGCTAGGAAGAACAAGAAGAAATCATGAAAAGGGATGCTGCAAAAACGTGATGTTGTCCAGTAACCCGCCCACCGTCAGGGAGGCAATGTGACTCAAAACCAAGCCACCCCGCTGATAAGCTCCGCGATATGGTCAATTACGGCTGGTCGATTAGTTCAAGTTGTAAAAACTGCTACCGAACACCCTCCACTGGATGAAACGGAGACATTGTAATATAAAGTTAGTTTGTAATTAAGCGTAATTAAGAGTCAACGCTGAATTGAAGAGTGGCTTCAAATAATAAAGTTAAAACATAAAACAGGTTGTGATAGATACAAACAACAACGGAAACAACCAAGACAACTTTAATGTCACTTATTTAAACTCGGTTCGTCGTAATGTCCGGTCTCGTTCTGGCTAGAGGTAACGTTACAAGTAAATATTAGCAGCATTTAGCAGCAACGTCAATTAACGTTGACTGCGTTTATCCAGGTTGTTGCTAACTAGCTTAAAGTCCGTAACAACGAGTGAATCAAAATAACTTCTAACGGTATTCATTTCTTTAAATGTTCAAGAGCTGCTACTGCTTACAAACACAACTATCACCGCACGAAACACAACTTCAACGTGTATTAATACTCACTACATTACAGTCAATGTAAGTCAAATGTGCACGTGAGCCCCGGCTCCACCGGGTGAGCTGCTGATGATGCCTTCACGTGTCTGCATCGGGTCCGAATTGTGAGTTCTAGGTTACACAAGTACTGCAGACAAGCACATTCACTTCGTTGTAAATTATATCAGGAATTACTTAAGTAAAGAGCTAAATTAGGAGGCTCTTAAATGATTTGTGTTGAAGCTAAATATAAATCACTTTCTGCTAAGATACTTTAAAATCGATTAAAAACTGTTGCACAAAGATGTTACTGCTCGGTCAGGTAATGTCAATATTTGAATTGATTTAGTTGAAAGTGTAATCCTTGGCAAGTGCATACTAAGCAGATAGTCTAGAATTGTCTTTTGGACATTGAATTAACAGAAGATGGAGTAAAAACATAACGGTAGTTTTATTGCCACTTCGTTTGGCTTCAATGCAAAAAATGTCCACCTTTTAACTCTACTCTTGCTCCTAAAAGCTATTATTTCCTACAATCACAGAAGGCAGCATTAAGGCTGCAGTGTGTGTCATTTCCGCTGTAAACAACAAATATTGAAATCTGCTGCCCTCCTTTGGTAAACCCCGGTACAGGGCCAAAAAAACACGTGACCAATGGCTGATAGTTAAGACACTGTAGTGAGCTTAATGGCGATTGTCTGTCCTCCTGAAAAGTGAGCATTAGCTCTTGTAGAAGACCTTGGATGGTTTGAAGAACAGAGTATTCTTTTTTTGCATGTGATTGAAGATGCATCATTAATGACCTCCTGTGGTGGAAATGTTCTCCACATAACTTACAACAACAAAATATCTATTATTAGCCTGTTTTATTATGTTCAAGCTGGGATCACTGGTATCATCTCCATCCCCTCTTTCAAAAGAGAGGGGCTGCAAGAAGTCTGACCCCAAACAAACATCAACAAAAAAATGGTTGTTGATGGAGGGTGAGGATGCAGTTGTCCCTCTTGATCAGCAGCTGCCTCAGTTACGTTTGCTGTAAGAGATATGAGAAGATAAAAAGGTTGTTAAAACGTACACGTTCATTGAGTAGCATGTGACACCCTTTTCCCTCAAAAGGTCACCCTTGGGTGCCATAAAAATTGTATGTAGGTAAAGATAAGCTACAACACTAACTATTTAATTTCATTATAACTTTGACGAATAAAGTGGTCAACTTTGGAACTTTTATAACTATCAACGTTTCCAGTGATCTACTATCACTGGTAGAACTAGGATCTCATGTACGTATGTCATGGAGGACTATATGAAGTAGAACTTGGATCTTATGTACATGTGTCATGGAGGACTGTATCATGTAGAACTAGGATCTCATGTACATAT